CGGCGGCAAGCTTGCAGACCTGAAGAATGGTGCAAGCCAGTTACTCGGCGGGCCGGGGCCACCGAGTCTGTGATTGGTCAGGAAGGAGTCGTGGGGGCGGGGCGGGATGGGGGCGGTTCCTAGGGCGTGGCTAGTAGTGCCTAGACCTGGCTTCCAAAGTGAGCTTCATTTGGTAGCAGCTGCTTCAGTGCATTTATCCCGCGGTCAGGTAAGTGCTCTTGGGCAAGAGGCTGCTTGCCACGTCTACTTTCAGTCCCCACGTCCGGAAGGAAGCTTTGATTTCTTTCTCTAGACTGGTGGGGCTGCAGCGTGCGCTGGACGCTGGACCTGCGGAAGCCACGTGGCACAAGGAATGACCTGGGGCCATCCCAGCTGGGTCCCTAGCACCTTCGTGTGCTAAGCCGGTGGGGGGGGGCGTTTTGGGCTGCGCACCCACCTCCGTACTTTGTGAGAATCTGGGATGAGGGATCCTGGTGGGAGGGGGTGGAGGGTAGTCTGTTTCAGGACGCAGTGGTGAAAGCGTCCGAACCCACCAGCCCCCTCAGAAGGAAAAAGATATGACTGGTTGTTTCGGTCAAGATTTACCTTATCTGAAACCCTATGATGTAGTCCTACTATGCGCAGCCCTCTAGGGTCGCTATGAGTGGGAGTTACTCGAGGGCAATGGATTGGTCCTGAATTATTTGTGCATTCAACCAATTCTTAACCATAGGGTGCTTGCATGCCTATTTCGGAACCTTGTAGAGAAAAAAAATTCAGTTCAGAGCCTGTGCACCATCTCTACAAGGACCCCGATGGCACAGTGGTTAAGAGCTCAGCTGCTAACAGAAAGGTCAGCAGATCAAACCCACCAACAGCTTTAAGGGAGCACAACTCGACAGTCCTGTGTGGACAGCCTGTAAGGGTAGCTCAGCTCCATCCTGTAGGATCACTGTAACTGAATGACACACAAAACAACCATCTCCAGTCATCTCTAGCTTGGTGGCCTTTTTGTGAAATAGGTAAGCCATATTTCTCTGAGTTGTGTCTGTGCCTAGCATTATGGTTCCCTTGAAATGACAAGAGTATATGTGCCAGCTCAATTAATCATTAATCTCACTCTCCTGCTAGCTCTATCCAGTTTTGGCACCAAACCGTACCTACCTTAGTGGTCTCCGTGCAAACCTTTCGAGTTTGGCTGCCTGGTGTGATGTTTTACTTTTCTCTAGGCAGGTAATCATGGGTGGAGAAAATGATCTGCACTTTCCCCCATTTCCAGAGAATACCCCGGAGAAGGTTTGGAAGCCTCTTCTCTGAGCTGTGTTACTATTTGCCGCAGTGTCTATGTCCAGGTCTCTATGGGAGGGGTGAGCAGTCCTTCGAGAGTGGCAGTAGGTTATTCCCCTCTTTCTCTTGTTCTTTCCCTTTTGCTTAGAAAATAAGTAGGCTGTAGTGGAAAGAGAAGGAGCCTTGTGGCATGGTGGTTAAGTGCTTGGTTGCTAACCAAAAAAAAGGCTGACGGTTCAAACCCACCAGCGCATCTGTGAGAGAAAGATAGGGCAGATTGCTTCCAGGAAACGCAAGGGGCAGCCCTCCTCTGACCTATAGGGTGGCTATGAGTCAGAATCAACTTGACAGCAATGAGTATTGAAATGGGTTGGTAGAAAGAGAAACTGTCCAGGTGATCCTAAGCCAAGGCGAAGGAGGGCCCTGGTTAGCATCAGCTTTGTGAGAGACTGGATCTGTTGTTTCTTATGTTGCTATGGGTTAGGGTATTGGACTGCTGACTGTACGGTTGGTGATTTCTAACCACCTGCTTCCCCAAGGGAGAAAAAGGAGGCTGTCTGCTACCTTTAAGATTTGTAGTCTAAAAAAAAAAAAAAAAGATTTATAGTCTCTGAAACTCTATACAGGGCCTTGGTGAATCAGAATGGGTTCAGTGGGAGTGGGTTTCTTGATTTATATCAACTTGAGGTTTTAGTACAGGGCACATGCACCACAATCGCTCACTGTGCTGCCTATGGACCTCTCTGGGCTTCCATTTCCCTTTCTGTGAACCGAGGGATTAGGCTAATGTCATTGAGCATTCTCTCACCCCGGGAGGAAAAGGAGGTATTGGGCAATCACCTATTTGATTTCTAGCTCCCCTTTATTCTCAGGAGTGGGGCCACCTTGTCTGGGAGCTGAGAGAATAGTAGTGGAAGAAAAGTTAGAGGCTACATGTAGTTCAAGGAGACTTGAACCTACAATGCTCGACTGCTAACCAAAACATGAGGGGGCTTGAACACACCCAGCCAGTTGGTGAGAGACCTGGGGAAGAAAGAAAAGCCCTCTGGAGCACCCCTGCTCTGACCCATGGCTCGCTGTGAATCGAAATTGGTTCTGGGGCCAAAGGTGCCGGCGGGGCAGGCCATTCACAGCCCCGTGGAAGCAAGCCTGCTACTGGCCATTCCAGGACCAAGTCAGATGCTGAGTTTGACTTGCAAAAAGTGACATTCTAGAGTAAGTTGTAGCTATTTCATGAAGGCAGCTGAGACACTGACCCACACCAACCTGGGCCCCTGCTTAGGAGCCTGGCTGCATCCATCAGGGGAGGCTGACTTGAATCAAGTCACTGTAAATAACAAGGCAGTGGTCATTGCAAAAGCCCCAGGTCCTGCCAAGGAGAAGCCCGGGGTGCCATGGGGGATGTAACTGGCTTGAGTTCGCTCTAGAGCCTCCAAGAGGTTCCAGGTCCTCTGTCCTGAAGAGATGTGGGGCAACTTATTTAGAGGGTGGGTGGGCAGTGGGCATGAGGGAAGTGCTCCCCACAGAGAATTTAGATTTTCTTTTTTAAAAAACCCACCTTGCTTGCCTTACGTTTCACAGAAGACAGGAGCTGGACTGCACCCGTCCTGACCTCTGTAATGAAGGCAAACGTACTTGCATAATTTATTAGCAAATGGTTTCCCTTTGTGGTGGGCGTGGCAGAAGGGTGGGGGACTTTCCAAATGCTGAGCTGGACAGTGGAGAGAGGTGGCAGAGAAGGACCGGAGGGGTGGGTGGTTGGGTGGTGGAAGGGGTAGCACTTGGCTCAGTCTACTTTCTCCAGTGGCTTCTGGAAGCTGAGGTGGTGTAATCGACGGGGCCAGGCCGACTGCATTTTAGCCACGCATAGAGTCAGGGCAAGAACCCTCTGGGAGCATTGTTTAATTGCCCCTTCACTAACCCAGAGGTCAGCGGGTCGAGTCCCTCGGCTGCTCTGTGGGAAAAAAGACACGGTCCCCTGCTCCTGTAGAGGTTAAAGCTTTCCTCCCCACTCCCACTACCATGACTCGAATTCGATCTTGCAAGTCTAGCTAGACCAGAGGAGGTACACTGGTACAGATAGGAACTGAAAATACAGGGAATCCAGGACGGATGAGCCCTATAGGACCAGTGGTGTGAGTGGCAAAACAGGGAGGGTAAAGGGAGAGTGGGTAGGAAAGAGGGAACCGATTACATGGAAATGTGTGTGACCTCCTCCCTGGGGGACAGACAACCGAAAAGTGGGTTAAGGGAGACGTCGGACAGGGCAAGATATGACAAAATACCCATTTATAAACTATCAAGGGCTCATGAGGGAGGGAGGGGAAAAATGAGGACCTAATGCTGGGGGTTTAAGTGGAGAGAAAATGTTTTGAGAAACGATGTACAAATGCGCTTTACACAATTGATGTGTGTATGGATTGGGATAATAGTTGTATGAGCCCCTAATAAAATGTTAGAAAAAGGAAAAAAAAAAAAAAGCTTTGGAAACCATACGGGCCAGTGGAATTCTACTCCGTCTTACAAGGGCCAAGATGAGTTGAAATCGCACAAGAGTCCAGAGAAGTGAGTTCTCGCCCTTCCTCCCCCTCTTGGGTTCAACTGGGACTGGGCAAGAGGACTTTGGTCTTTGAACCAGCCTGCCACACACTGAGTCAGCCTATCCCGGAGGGCAGAGCCCAGCGCTTCTGTGTGGGCTTCCTGGGGACAGGAGTGGGGCAGTCAGAGTTTGGGCAGTGGCTACTTGTGCCTGGCTAATGCCTACTGCCAGTGACATCAAGGCTGGCAGGGCCGTTGTGGTTACTTCAAGCTGGGCCTCTCCGGGCTCCTTCCACAGCCAAAATGACGTGCCCCCTGGCAAGCCAACCAGCTGACATGTCTCCCATTGCAACAAAAATTGTGAAATTGCCTCTCAGGAGGGGAGACCCAAGTCACAGGTTTGCTCAATTCACACCTGTTATCCCTTCAAGAATTAAAAGCAGTGAGGAGGGTGGTGGCACGTGGCTACCACCCAGAAGGAAGAGCTGAGAACCCAGCGTGTCCTTTGGACTCGGGTTCCCGGACTGGAGAACCTCCTGGCTCTAGAGCAGTGGTTCTCAACCTTCCTCATGCAGCCTCTGACCCTTCATACAGTTCCTCGTGTGGTGGTGACCTCCCAATTATAACACTATTTTCATTGCTACTTTATAACTAATTTTGCTACCCAAAGGGGTCGCGACCCATAGGTTGAGAACCGTTGCTCTACAGGAAGGCAGCTTCCGAGGCCCGTGGAGTTTTCTCAGGAACGAAGAGGCAGAAGCCAAAGAGGCAAAGCCCTTCCTCCAGCACAGGCACAGGAAGTCTCCCCCAAGAGCAGGTGATCTGAACTTGGACTTCTAGCCTCCTAAACTGTGACAAAACAAATCTACATTTGGTAAAGCAAAAACATCCTCTCATCAGAATACAATTAAAATGGACCACCACTCTCTTTCCCCCCTGTGTTGGCTCCCCCGCCCCCCCTCTCTCTGGTTGCTCATTTTGTGTGTGTGGGGGGGTGAGGGTGGGGAGTCCCCTTTTCAGCATGTTTCTAGAATGGGGTGCTACTTCAGGGTGTGCCCTCAGCTCTTTTCACTGGGGAATGTTCTTCGACTCCAGTGAGAGGACTCAGTCACCTGCTTCTAGCCCAGGCCCCTCTGCTCTGGGATTCTCTCAGACCGGAATCTCCAAAGGCCAGCCACGGGAGCCTCTTATTCAGCGAACACGTGGATGCCTTCCTCAGGCCGACACTGCGCCGGGCACCGGGCCCGCAGAGCAAGAGGAGTGCTGACTTGGAGGAGCTTTGGGTCTAAAGAGGGAGGTAGGTAAGGCGTTCATCTGGATTGAGCCACGGAGGGTAGTGACACGCTGTCGCAGCGCTGAAGGCGTCCAGAGCTAAGGGGTCTGAGGACAGAGGAGACAGGAGAGGGAAGGGGTGCTGCCAAGAAGAAAGTGAGTCTTAAGCTGACATCTGAAGGATGAATGGAGGTTATGTAGTGGAGAGCAGGAGGGAATAGCATTCTAGACAGGCAACGGGACTTGCAAAGAACGCGAGGCAGGAGGCTGCCTCACATTTAAGGAAGTCCCACGTCACTTGAAACCCAAGGTGTGGAAAATCAAACACGTTGTTTTCTCCCTAAAGCTAATTTCTGAGATGCTGCATCTCTGGTCCCTGTGGCCCAAGTCAGAAACCCAGGGGGTGTTCTAGATATTTGTCACTAGCCTGCTTGACGAGGCTGAAAGCAAAACAAAGTAAATGCCTCAGGGTTCCCTCTCTGGTCTGTTGTGGATAGAGTGGGTTAGGAAGGAGACAGCTGCTGCTTTGTTGTGTGTGTGTGTGTGTGTGTGTGTACATGCGTGCGCGCACACACATTTCCCATTTATTCATTCAAACAGGAATCTAGGTGGTACTGTGAAGGAGTTTTACAGGTGTAACTAAAGTCCCTTATTGGTTGGCTTTGAATTAATCAAAAGGGAGCTCAAGATATCTTGGGTGGGCCTGGCTTAAGCACTTGGGCAATAACCAAAAACTACTGCTTCATGACTTCATGCCACTATGTGTAAAAATTGACCTGACCACACTTAACAGAATATCTCTATTTCTTTCTCTCTGCTCTCTGGTTGAACCTTGACTGATACAGTATTCCCAATATCACTGCCTTGTCTTACGTAGCCTCAACGATTAGAACCTGTTTTACTTGTAGGTTCTAATAACGATTGCAATGGCTACACAGAACTCACAGACAATATTTAGGTTTAAAGGGTCTATTAAGGAAGTTGACGGGTTGCCATGCAGATGAGAACTGCTCAGGAGATAGTTGTTCAACAGCACACATCTCAAAGGTCTTTCAGGTCAGCCAGACGGGCATCCCACTCTGATGAAAGCTTCAGTCTGAAGGTCAAGCTTCATGGGTCACCAAACCCAGCTCCCTGAATTAAATGCCCAGAGGCACCCCCACTCCAATAAGCTTCAACCTGAAGGCACTCCACTCCACTCCAGCTCCCCCAATTTAAGTGCTTAGTGGCACCCCACTCCACAAGCCAGCCTCCCTCCCCAAAGCGCTCAGCTTTACTTGCTCTGTGGGCTGGGCGGTCCAGCCCACTGTTTCAGGCTCTGGCTCCTGGTTGTGCTGCGGCTGCTCCGCTGATGCCCTAGCTATCTTCCGGATCCAGGAGGCTCACCGCATAGGGGTCTCAGGTCCAGAGCTGTCTACCCCTGGCTCTTGCTGGTCTTGACATCCTTCCTCCTGCTTTTCAGAGGGCTTATTTTATATGCAGCAGGATGGCAGTCCAGGGAATCCTGTCAGCATCTTCACTCTCTGCTCCCGCCCCCCACCCCCACCCCCACTTACTAGTCCCGTGCAGGAAAAGGTCATTTGGTGGGAGTTAGAGACGTTGGCTGGAAGAGCCACACTAAATAATTCACAGCTCCTGCAATTACTTAGCAAATCCTAAAATTGCCTCCTTAAAAGGTTCGAATTCTGGAGCCTCCTCTCTGACAGAGGCCACCTGTATCCACTTGAGCCCCGACATCTTGCCCAGCTGGTCCCTCTGCATGCTGAGAGGTCCCTGCCCACTCTGTTGATTCACATGCCCGGCATGTGCCTTCCGAATCACAGATCTGACCTTGCCACACTCTTGAAGTTCTTTCAGTGGGTCCCCAGATCGTCAGACAAACATCTATCGTAGCTTTCCCAGCCTTGGTTTCCAGAACCCAATTAGAGGTCAGAGCGCTGAAGTGGGTCAGGCTGAAGGACTGCCCAGTGCTGATGGGACCTGGTTAAATTCCGAAACGTCTCCGTCTTTTAGTGTTTTCATCCGTAAGACGGGCTTAAATGGGAAGTGTCTTCCTCGTAGGGCTATTGGGAATAAGAATAGTGAAAATGCATGTCTCGTGCTAAGCAAAAGCTCAGGCATACAGTAAGAGCTCCCAAGTGTTAGCTGGTCTCATCACTGCCACCCGGTCCCCACAAGCACTGCTCACTTTCCACACTTTTTGTCTGAGATACTCCGCCCCCATCTGGCTAATGTTCATGAATCCTTATTTCTTCTCTTCACAGTGTGTTCAGAATCCCACAAACCAAACTCACTGCCATGGAGTTGATTCTGACTCACAGGGACCCTGTAGGACAGAGTAGAACTGCCCCTCGGGCTTCCAAGATGGGAACTGTAGAAAGCCTCTGGTGGTTTGAACTGCGAACCTTGCGGTTAAGAGCCCAGCATGTAACCAGGACTCCTTAGATCCAGTGACCGTGCAATCTGTCATTCAAACTGGGAAGCTCTTTAGATGGAAAAGGGAGTTCTATTGATGGTGGCCTTGGGACAACAGTCCCAGGCAAATGGGGGAGATGTAGCCACCACCCGGGTTTTAAATTCTGCCACTCTGGCTTCTCACTGCTTGTGGGGTCTGCTGACAGCACTGTGCACTCCTGCCCTTGTCCTGGGGTTGCTTCCCCACCTCTCAGCTCTGGATGGGATCTCACTCATGCAGGCGTGGGTTGAAAGGTCTCCCCACAAAACTTGTGTTGTGAATCCTAACTCCTATACCCCTGGTGAAGGAGTGTTAGTGGTGTAGTGTTATGTGTTAGGCTGCGACCAACAAGGTCAGCGATTCGAACCCACCAGCTGCTCTGTGGGACACAGATGAGGCTTTCTACTCCCGTAAAGATTTATAGCCTTGGAAACAGGGGAGTTTTACTCAGGTCACCATGAGTCAGACTCAGTGGATGGGGTTGAGTTTCGGTTTTAGTTTTTATACCTGTGGTTCAGGAGTCCTGGTAGAGCTGTCAGGAAGCATTGAATGGCTAACCTCAAGGTTAACGGTTCGAACCCACCAGCTGCTCTCTCAGAGAAAGCTCTGTTCCCATAAAAATTACAGCCTCAGGAGCCCCGTGTAGGTATTTTATTTTAATCATTTTATTGGGGGCTCGTACAACTCTTATCACAATTCATACATACATCCATTGTGTCAAGCACATTTGTATAGTTGTTGCCCTCATCATTCTCAAAACATTTGATTTCTACCTGAGCCCATGGTATCAGCTCCTCATTTTTTCCCCTCCCTCATGAACCCTTGATAATTTATAAAGTATTATTATTTTGTCATATCTTACACTGTCTGACATCTCCCTTCACCCACTTTTCTGTTGTTCATCCCCCAAGGAGGAGGTTATATGTAGATCCTTGTAATCTGTTCTCCCTTTCTACCCCACCCTCCCCCCACCTTCCCGGTATCACCACTCTTACCACTGGTCCTAAAGGGATCATCTGTCCTGGATTCCCCGTGTCTCCAGTTCCTATCTGTACCGGTGTCCATCCTCTGGTCTAGCCAGATTTGTAAGGTAGAATTGGGATCGTGATGGGGGTGGGGGGAGGGGTAGGTTGTTTTGACTGTGTTGGCAGGAGGCTTGGTTGGGTTGGTTTCGGCCTGTGGTTATACTCCCGTCTGGGAATGGGTTTTCTTGGTAAAGAGGCCACCTCCGTTCAGGGTGCGAGTTAAAGGCAATCGTCTTTGAACTAAAAAGAGTAGATTAGGTCAAAGGAGCAAGCAGAGATGGGAGAGGCCCCGTGAAGATCACCCAGGAACGGAATCCAGAGGGATACAAAAGACATTTCCCCAGAGCAAACCGTGAGCGAGAAAACCTTTCCCTAGAGCCGGGGCTCTGGCTCAGACACCTAGCCTCCTAAATAGAGAAGCACAGTCTCTGCTTGGCAAAGCCAGCCTGGTGTGCCATTTCTGTGACTGCTGCACTGAGCCAGAGAGCCACAGGCACACTGGCTCAGTGATGAAAGTAATCGTGCGAGCTCAGACCCACCTTTACCTCTGACCTTGCCTGCCTGCCCTCTGAGCCCAGGCCTTCCTCCTCCTGTTACGTCTCTCCTGGCTTCCAGGGCCTTGCTCACACCCCACTTCTTCTGGGAAGCCCCTCTGCTTATTTGCCCTCACCTCCACTAATCTCTGCTCCCCAAGGACGAGAGCTGTGCTGTCCCCTTTCCCGGTCTTCCCCCATAGCACACCAAGCCCAGGGCTGGCCACCAGCAGGCCCTCTGGAAACACAGGTTGGGGCCTGACCACTCGCTGGGCCCTCCCCCCAGCAGCGGGTGAATGAATGTGGGTAGTGTACAATGGTGGGAGGGCCCCAGGGCCCCTGAATTTGGGGACTATCCTCACGCTTGCTCTGTCCCCCCCTCTTGTGTGTGAGCAGGATGGAGGTAGACCTGTCAGGGTTCAACATCGATGCTCCCCGCTGGGACCAAAGCATGTTCCTGGGGCGGGTGAAGCACTTCTTCAATATCACGGATCCCCGAACGGTCCTGGTGCCAGAGCGGGAACTGGACTGGGCCAAGCTGATGGTGGAGAAGAGCCGGTGAGCTGGAGGGAGGGGCTGGGTGAGTGGGTGTGCAGCGAGGAAAGACCCCCAGAATGGGGGAGAACGAAGGCAGGGAACCATCCGTGAGCTGGGCTGTCATCTTCTTGTCTTTGATGACAGGATGGGCACTGTGCCCCCGGGCACCCAAGTGGAACAATTGCTATATGCCAAGAAGCTGTACGACTCAGCCTTCCACCCCGACACTGGAGAGAAGATGAATGTCATCGGGCGCATGTCCTTCCAGGTCCCTGGGGGCATGATCCTCACCGGCTTCATGCTGCAGTTCTACAGGTGGGAGCCTGGGAGTGGGGAGCTACAGGGCAGGGAGCCATAGTGGAAGAATGATAAGCCCCTGGGATGGATGACTTAGAATCCCTGGGTGGTACAAAGAGTGGAACAGGCTTAGGTTGCAAACTGAAAGGTTGGCAGTTCAAGTCCATCCAGAAGGGCCTTGGACGAAAGGTCTGACGATCTACCTGTGAAAAAGTCAGCCACCGAAAACCCCGTGCAGCGCAAGTCTGTGCTGGCGCACGCGCGGGGTTGCCATGAGGTTGATTGTATTGCCCAGTGACTGGTAGCTGACGCATGCGCGTGCAACGGGGTTGCCATGAGGTTGATTGTATTGCCCAGTGACTGGTACCAGGCCCTGCCTTAGACGCTTTCATGCGTTAGCTCAGTTAAACTCTTTTAACAACCCTGCAAGTAGCTACTATTACCCCCATGTTCTGGATGAAGAGCTGGCGTTCTAGACAAGTCGTTAGTCCAAGTTCACACAGCCAGGAAATACTAGTGCCTGGGCTATCTCCCAGGCCTGACTCTTAATTAATAGACTATTCCAACTCCCTCTTTTTGAAGCGCTTACTTAGCTGTGCGTTTCGTGTATTTTTATAATGCCACACTAAAGTACATTGAAAGTAGGGGGCACTTTTCTTTGCGTTCAGTGGGCAGATGTGTGACTACTGGAGAAATCCCATGGTCTTTTTATTCCACTCTTTCATGAACGTTGGGAAGCCCTCGCTCATACCTCGTCCCCTTCCTTCCCTATCCCATTCACACATTGATTCAGCCAGCCTGTACGGGGAGCCCAGCCTGGTGTAAGGTGTTAGGACTATCATCCCTTCCCTCGGGGAGCTCCCAGTTTTGTTGAGGAGACCAAGAAGTGAACAGTTGCCAGGAAGCTTGGTAAGGGGTAGGTTCGAGGCCGGAGCTGGTGTTGACCGAGCAGGGTGCATGGAATGGCTCACCTTCTCTTTGGAGGGGCAGGGGCAGGATGGGGAAGATCCCAAGGAGGAAATCATTGTCTTTGCAAGGTAAGGAAGGGGGCGAGGATGGTGTCTAAAACAGCACAGGAACCATTTGGGAAGTTGCAGGTGGTGTGGCTAGTAGATCCCAAGCCTTCCCTCCATCCTCCTTTGCCTCTCTTGGTTTCTTGGACCGTAGGACAGTGCCGGCGGTGGTCTTCTGGCAGTGGGTGAACCAGTCTTTCAACGCCTTAGTCAACTACACCAACAGGAATGCAGCTTCCCCCACGTCGATCAGGTAGACCAGCTGCATGCACGCTCATTCCTTCACTCCGCAGAAAATATGTCTCGAGTGTGTTTCACGTGCCACGCTTGTGCTAGGTGCCCAAGGGCCATTGTTGACTCAGATAGGTGTGATCTTTGCTCTCTTGGAGGGTCAGGTCTAAAAACAAGACAGGCACAGCGATCTCAGATTGTGTGTGGTGGCCTAATAAAAACAGGGTGACAAGATAGAGAACCACAGGGGTGCGGTCTGTGGAGACAGGCGGATCCGGGAAGTGGAGATAACCTTTCAGCTGAGTCTGGAAGGGTCAGGATTCAGCCAAGTACAAAGGTGCTGATGATGTTGGGGACCCATCACGGGCGAGCTTGCCAGACTTTCTCCCTCAAGGCCATCGGCGTGCCCTCAGCCAGCAGGACTCCCTACCCCGCTTCAAAAGCATCTCTCTCTTCCACTAGGCAGATGGCCCTTTCCTACTTCACAGCCACAACCACTGCCGTGGCCACTGCTGTGAGCATGAACACACTGACAAAGGTATGGTCTGGGCTGCTGTGGACAGTGGTGGCCACTGGGGGGCAGCAGAGTCCTGGAGCAAATCAGCCATGCTTGCTGGCTAGATGAATTGGTATGCCCAGACTAGTCTTAAGGCAATAGAGCAGCGGTTCTCAACCTGGGGGTCAAACGACCCTTTCACAGGGGTCTCCTAAGACCATCAGAAAACACAAACTCCCGTGTTTCCAAGGCTAGAAATCTTCATGTTTCCAAGGCTATGTATCTTTACGGGAGTAGAAAGCCTCATCTGTGTCCCACGGAGCAGGTGGTGGGTTCGAATATGTATTTTCCAATGGTCTTAGGAACCGAGACACCGCTCCTCTATCTGTCTCCAGGGGGTCCATCCACATGCAGGTATGCCCACATATGAGTACCCGATGTGATGGATGACATCATCGCGCCAACCCATCACATACACCCCATTTACATACAGGTGTATGTGACAAGGTTGGCACCATGATGTACTTACGCAGACCAGTCACACATGTGTAGAGAGCAGCTACTGTGTAGAAAGCAGCAGCTGTGTTGAAAGCAGCTTCTCTGTTAAAAGCACCTACTGTGTTGAAAGCAGTAGTATTGGAGGTAAAATGACACTTCGTGAATTATAATTACATATGCCATTATCTTTTAATTCTAGTTTTCCATGAAATCCTTTCATTCAGTAGGGTTTTACTGGGTTGGGCCTTCTCAGGCAATTCAGGGACTTTGGGGCATTCAGAATGGTGTCAAACCAAAACCTAACTCCTTGTCCTCAGGTCTGTTCCTATTCATAACCACTCTAAAGGACAGGGTGGAACTGCCCCTCTGGGTTCCTGAAGACTGTAACTCTTGACGGGAGTAGACAGCCTCCTTTTCCTCCAGCCAAGTGGCTGCTGGTTTCTCACTACTGACCTTGGGGTTAGCAGCCCCACTGGTAACCACTACATCACCAGGCTCCTTAGGAGACATGGTGTCAGGACCTGAAAATTCATTGTCAAGGCGATGCCGCCTCCTCGCGACCCTATAGGACAGAGTAGAACAGCCCTGTAGGGTCTCCCAGGCTGGAACCTTTCTGGAAGCAGATGGTCACATCTGTCTTCATGGAGCACCTGGTGAATTGGAACCATCAGCGGGCTGTTCCTGTTCGTAGCCAAGCACTTAACCACTGTACCACCAGGGCTTGATTTGTGAAGACTTTAAACTTCCACCATCCTCATCTCCCGGTGAGCCTGACAATCCCCATGGTCCCCTCCTCTGACAGAGAGCCCCGCCCCTGGTGGGCCGCTGGGTGCCCTTTGCCGCCGTGGCAGCAGCCAACTGTGTCAACATCCCAATGATGCGACAACAGTGAGTACAGTCCTTTCTACAAAGCACCACTTTATCTGAGCCAGGTGTCAAGACAGTGGAGGGTGGGCTGTGGGAGGAGCCTCAGTAGAGCCTGAGGATCGCTGCCTCCCCCCTCACCCCTCCTCCCAGTGGTGGGTGACTTAGGGTCAGTCTCTGTGGTCCATGTTGTGGGAGTCACTTCTGGGATCGGTTGGGGACTAGAGGAAGTTCTTTCAACTGACACGGTTTTATTTAAGTTGTGACTGCTGCCTACTTCCAAAGCCTTGAGGATGAAGTACAGACAGAAATGTAAGGGAAAGAATTGACTATACTAGGGTGGGGGGGGAGGGGAAAATGAGGAGCTGATACCAAGGGCTCAAGTAGAAAGCAAATGTTTTGAGAAGAATGATGGCAACAAACGTACAAATGTGCTCGACACAATGGATGGATGGGTTGTGATAAGAGTTGTACAAGCCCCCAATAAAATGATTAAAAGAAAAAAGAATTGACTATACCAAGGGCTCAATAGAAAGTAAATGTCTAGAAAAGAATGATGGCAACATATGTACAAATAGGCTTGATACAGTGGATCTATGCATTGTTATAAGAGTTGTGAGAGCCCCCAGTAAAATGATCTTTTCATAAAAGGAAAGGAAAAAAAGAAAAGACAACAGAAGTGTCTCAAGATAGGATGGAATAAGAAGCGCTGAAAGAAGCCAGAGGAGGCCAACAGACCACTGGTTTCCAGGCACCAGCCCTAAGCTTTCCGTAGGAACGGGGAAAGGAGAAAGTGTAGCTGTGGCTCATTAAGAGGATTTAATGATAGAACATACAGAAAGCACAATGCCTGGAACATTGCACACACACACACACACACACACTTCTGTGAACGATAGCCCCCCCTTTGTCATTATTTTCAGCAGCAGCAATAGTGGCAAAGCCCCGTCTTCTTGAAATGACCACTAGCTAATGGAAATGTGTCTCAGTAGAAAGAGCACCAGCAGGACAGGCCTGAGGATGGACTGCTCCTCTCTGCCTCCCCCGCACTGGCTAGTCCCCCTTTCCCACCCAATCAATGAGTCCCAGCTGGTGCCTGCTCTCGGGTTCTGTGCTGTCTAGAACGGCCTGGAGCACCACAGCCATCCTAGTGACTCTCGGTGGAGCAGCCAGCCACCCACTCTGTTATCAGGAGGGGGTGGGGGGTGGGGGCTGGACCTGAGTCCTTGGAAGACACCATCTTGTTGGCCTCTTACCAAGTGCTCTGCAGGAGGTGCCAGGACTGTCCCCATTTTTCAGAGGAGGAGAACTGAGGCTTTAGGAGAGTCAGTTAACTTGCTCAGGGTCCTGCATGCTGCAGTTCCAGGAGCCCACCTATGAGGCCCAAACACAGACCAGCTCTTTGGGCCACTACCCGTGCTTGCTGCTGGGGTACTCTTCAGTGGGGTCCAGAAGGAAGGGCCGAGGTCCAAGCCACTGATGGGTTCCTAGAGCTTTGGGCTCCTGATGTGTCACATGACTGACAAGTGTCTAGCACCTCTTTCCTAAGTCCAGCAACTCCTATCTGTGTGTAGGGAGCTCCTCCAGGGCATCTGTGTGAAGGCCAGGGATGACACGGAGCTTGGCCATTCTCGGGTGAGTGGTGGCCTTCCTTTGGGGTGGGCAAAGCACTTTCCCCCTCACGCCCTGCCCTCTCCGTGGGCAGAGCCGGCCTGGGCATCACATATGGAGGAGCAGGTTTCTCCCTGATCTTGTCTTCATTCCTGTGGCTTTCCCTACTTTCCTCTGTTCAGAACATGGTCCCCTGGCCTTCCTCCATCCTCTCTGGTCATGAAGCTGTAAGAGTCTGGCTGGGAGGGAGAGGGATGGGTGAGGTCCCCCCGCCCCAGGCCCTGTCAGAGCCATCCCTCCCCTTGACTAGCTCAGCCTTGGCCATGACTCTCCCCCAGCCATACAATATGACCCCCAGGTACGCTAGATTAAGCCATTCCTGACAACGCACTCCTTTCTACCTTCAGAGAGCTGCAGCTGTGGGCATCACCCAAGTGGTTATTTCCCGGATCACCATGGCAGCACCTGGCATGAGTAAGACGGGGAAGCCCTCCCGTGCGGGGGGCCCCTGTAGAATACGACAGACAGGGTCCTCGGCCACACTTGACTTTTTGGTAGCAGGTGGGACCCCAGCCTCCTTAGCCTTGCTTCCCGAACTGGTTTGCTTGAATGCTGAGAGCTACAGGAGGACTGAACAGGGTTCCTGGAGCATTGATCAGCCAGAGACTTGGGGGAAGATGTGTCTATGTAGGAAGCCCTCACCAAGTGTCTGCTGTGTGCAGGCCACAGTGCTGGGTGCCAGGGAGACAGTGGCAGAGAGAAGAAATTGTCTGCCCTTCTGGGGGACAAGTTATAGAGGTCGGTGTACATTGTATTGTTCTAGTTATTGTGAGTTTAGGGGAGGAGGCTTTGGGCCTGGAAGTACCTGTCTGACTATGATTACAGGTGTGCAGATTGGGAACCATGGTTCTGCTGGGACTTGGCACGAGGGGTGGGTGGTATTCCTGGAGCTTCCGCAGGGAAGGGGTGTGACTTCAGCAGGGTGCTCGGAGGAGGCTTCCTGGCCTCCCCCAGCTCCTCCCCTGGTCTCTCCTAGTCTTACTGCCGGTCCTCATGGAACGACTGGAGAAACTGCATTTCATGAAGGTGAGTAGCATATCCTTCCCCGTGCCCACACCTGTGCCAGGGGGCACCTGACCCTGCTGTCCTGCCCTCACTCCACCACCCCTTCACCTTGCTCAAGCCTAGTCCAGACCAGGTCCCCGGGCCGCCTGTTTTCGATGCCCCAGTGGCCTACCTGACCTTGTGTGCAGAGAGCGAGGCCAGAAGGCGTCCCTATGGCTCCCCTCTGCAGGGCTAAGCCATCCTGCCCAGAGGGCTCTTCTCACTGAATGGCTGGCCGACGCGTGGCAGGGGGTGGGTGACCTTAGCTAGGTCCAAGCCATGTGGGTCTCTTCTGTTTGTTCTCTGCAGAAAGTCAAGGCCCTGCATGCCCCGTTGCAAGTTGTGCTGTGTGGGTGCTTGTGAGTATATCCTGCTTGGTGGCTCGGGTCCTGGGCTGGCTGGGAGACCCCAGGACCCCCATTAGGTTTTCTTGTGGAGCACATGTTGGAGAGCCATGTGCTCCTTTGCCTGAAGTTCAAAGTGGCCACGCTCAGGCTATGTGGGGGGGATGTCCCTCTGGAGAACTGCACCCCGGCTTTTTGGAAGGTAAGATGCCCTACACCAGTTACTCTGGAGAGTAAGGTACTCGGGGTGCCTGCCCATCTTGGGGTCTGACTTCGGACTTTCAGTCTGGAGGGACAGAATGCAGAGACTCGGCTTTGGCGGGGCTGTTACGTGCCCCAGGAAGTCATGCCTGCATTCTGGCACGTCTGCCCTCTGACTGGGCGTGACCCCGCATCATGCACGTTCCACACAGCCTGGGAGCGAATGACACCCGCCATGACAATGGCCGTTTGCTGGATGCTTTGTGCTCCCCTGTACTGCTGGGTCACCCCTGTGACCTCTCACTTCCTTCTCTCACCTGCGAGGTGTTGCCGTCAAGCTGATGCTGACTCATATCAACCCTGTAGGACAGAGCAGAACTGCCCTGTGGGTTTCCAAGACTGTAACTCTTGACAAGAATAGGAAGCCCCATCTTTCTCCTGAGGAGCTGAGCTACTGGGGGTGGTTTCGAACTGCCGACCTTGTGGCTCGCAGCCCACCTGGTAACCACCACGCCACCTGGGCTCCTCCCTAGAGTTATGTAGACTGTTAAATCTAGTGGCTGTTGGGTTGATTAGGATTCATGGTAACCCCATGCCTGCCAGGTTAGGTTGGAGCTCCCTGTGTTTTCAAGGCCGGATTTTTGGGAAACAGGTTGCCAGGTCTTTCGGTCGCACCATCTCTGGGTGGACTTCAGCCTTGAACCTCTTTCGATTAGCGGCCAAGCAGGTGAACCGTTTGTACCACCCAGGGAGCCCGAGTATACTGTTAACATCCCCTTTTAGGAAAGAGGAAACCTTTTAAGAAAGATGGCTGGTAACTGCTGGAGCTGCGTTTGACCCATAGCAGCCTTGAACATCATGCTAATTGAATGGTTACACAGGGCTCGGGGCTCTTTGTGTACATGCCATTGGATGCTCCTGGGGACACTCGGAGCTGCAGGCTGAGCATCACTCGCTCAAAACCACACAGCTACTGGGTGGCGAAACCGGGATGCCGAGCCAGGTCTGCTGGGTTCTCAAACGTCATCGTTGTCAGGCCTTGTTTCTTAACATATGGTCCTCAGCAGCAGCAGCAGCAGCATCTGAGGACTTAGAACTGGAGAGTCTCCAGCCCTTCCCTGGACCCACTGAGCCCACCTCCACGCTTTAACAGGCTCCTCAGTGCTGTGAGGAGCTCTCCCCTCTCGCGGGCGCTTCACGATGGCGACGGGTTGGGTTGGGTTTTGTCTGCTGGATAAAGGAGCAGGACCTTGGGCTCCCTGCCTCTCCCTCCTTGCCCACACATCAGGCCCTGGGGCTGTTGCTGGTCAGCTGGCTGCATCCCTCTGGATCTGTCTGTCTTCTGCTTGGGTTCCATTCCCCCCCCTCGCCCCAGCTGGGCGGGGAGCAGGAGAGAGAGCTGGAGGGTGAGGGCAGGTCTGTGGGAAGAGGGCCTCCTAACGCCTTTGATTTCTCTTTCCTTTGCAGTCTCATCTTCATGGTGCCCGTGGCGTGTGGACTCTTCCCGCAGACATGGTACCCGCTGCTCGCTCATCGCTTTGCTTTGCTGCGTGCCCATCCTGCCGACGCCCCTGACCTGCCTGCTGTCCCGAATGAGGAAGGGGGGTGGGGGGCTGCAGGGCAGTACTTGTCCAAGGACAGGTGCCCATTGGCCTGAGTGCTGGGCCTTTTTTCCCCGCGAGTGCGTGACAAACCGAACCAGACCTTCTTGGGGCGGGAGAAGCCAGGAGGAGGGGTGAGGTCACGCTCTCCCGGCTGTGCAGGGACTCCTTTGGGAGAAGGTGAGGGGACAGGAGGCTTCCCCTGCCAGCTGGGCCACTGGGAGGTCTCCTTTGGTTGGGTCCGGCCTTAGCCTGGTTCAAGGTTGCGAGAGCATTGACTACTCCTATCCCCCCTTTCCCTTCATTCGGTCCTCCTGGGCCAAGTCCCCTGTGTGGCTGAGCGCTGACGTGTCACACGTGGGCATGTGTTGAATCTGGAAGGTTCCGTAAAGAATGTCAGCACCAGGGCGGGTGACGTCGGCCCAAATGTGGGGGCACAGAAGCTCTGGGGGTGGGGGCTTTTCAAGCTGGCATTGGGGGGGGGGGCGGGCTGCATTTCAGGCAACATTGTGCTCACCGCGCTCTCCTTTCTTTTCAGCCGACTGCCGGTTTCTTTCCTGGAACCTGAGCTCCAAGACACCATCAGGGCCTCCTATGGAGACCGCGTGGCTCATGTCTACTTCAATAAGGGTCTCTAGCTGCCCTGCCCCAGCAGGGACCAGTCTGCCTGCAAGCTCATCAGCTCTTCCCTGGCTGCAGTGCACGCCCGGCCCTCGCTCCTCTTTGCCTCCAAGGCCTGAAGGCCAGAGTGGGATTGGGGTTGGTGGGGAGGAGGCATTGCCCCTCCAGCCCAGGGACCTGGGGGGTGAGGTGGTGTAAAAATGCACCAGGGGGGCGCACAGACCAAGGCCTTCTATCCGCTCCCTACTCCCAGCCCCCATTCCCTGGAGACCAGGAGCGGGGAGAAGTTGCTGATGCCTGCAGGGCAGACCCTCAAGCTAACCAGTTGGGCACCTTGGGAGGCCTTTGGGATGCTGGGGTTCTGGCCACGATTGAGGAGAGGCTGCTGGAACCCAGAGAAGTGCTGGTTCTCCCCACTTCTCTTACTTCTCCACCCAAACCAAGCCATGGCATCTTTGACCTGTGCCGTTCATACTCGGTCAGGAGGAGATGAGGCAAAGGTGTCCTTCCCCTGGCCTTCTTGTCTGTACCCTGCCCCACTCGCCGCCCCATTGCCCCCTGTTCTTTGGGAGTGCTGTCAAACCTGAGTGCCTCAGGTACCCAGGAGTTACCAAAGCCAGAAAAAGCTGTCTGGCATGCGTGCGTGCGTGCGTGACGGGCCTGCCTCCTGACTACTCCTCACTTTGTTCCCCTGCCCTGGGTCTCTTCTGGAGATCTCGGCTGAGACACTGGAACTTCTCCCCACTGCCCTCCCCCATTCCACACCCCACCCCCACCCCACCCATCTCTGTTTTTAAAGAGAAACCCACTAGGTGGAATTGAACCGAATAGATGTAGGCATATACCTCACACTGTAGTGAGCACAGCTTCCTGGCTTCCTCCCTTCCTCTCAGCCCACGGGGGTCAGCCACCAATGCGAGGCTGGTGTCCGGCCCAGGGAGGAAATCCACCCGGACCAAAGTGCCTGGAAGGACACAGGGCACGTAGCAAAGCACCGTCCCCTTCCTTCCCTCCTCCAGTGTGGCTGCCCAGCTCCGCAGGGAGTGTTGTGGCTCACCTGGGGTTAAAGCGTAGATGAATTTTTGGCCGATAAAGTTTGCTGGCCCTGTTCAGAGGATTATCACTGTGAATTGAATACATTTCTTTCAAGGAGTCCAAGGAACTGCCTGGAAACCAAGTTAAATA